GAAATTAAATTCATTGACAAAAAATATTCACATTGTCAAACTCGAGTCAATTTCGGAGAGTGATGCCAAGGCAGCAGCAGAAAAGATCGAAAAGATATCTGGCTATATTGATGTTGTCATTGCCAATGCTGGCATCTTGAATTACCAAGGTCCGCTCGTGACTACTCCAATCAAAGAAGTTCGTGATCACTACGAAGTCAACGTCGTCGGTCCTCTCATTCTCTTCCAAGCATTTCATCCTCTTTTGAAAAAGAGCAAGTCGGACACACCAAAATTTGTGGTCATTTCCACGGTATTAGGATCGATTGGAAACTTATATCCCGTGCCAACGACGCCCTATGGAGCATCAAAGGCAGCTGTCAATTATGTGACAAAGAAAATCCATCAGGAACATGAAAAAGATGGTCTCATTGCCTTTCCCTTGCATCCTGGTTTGGTTCAAACAGATTTGGGCAATCCTTTTGCAAAGAGCGTTGGAATGGAGCAAGCACCGGTGACAATTGAAGATAGTATTAAAGGTCAATTGAAAGTTATCGATGAAGCAACAAGAGAAAAGACAAGTGGAAGATTTTGGGACTTCGAGGGAAAAGAATTGCTTTGGTAAACATTTTTATTGTGACTCTCATTCTTTGTAATAAATATTCCACAGATCTTTAACGTATGTGATTCTTTTCGCTAAAATATCTAGTTATACTTCAGAAATAGAGGATGTAGGGATGTGGGTGTGGATGGTTTTGTGATCTTCTCCTTACTCACATCCTCACCCATACCCAATTGTCTCTTGTAGTTATTCATATATTCCTAGAACATACCAAAATGCTAGGCTCTTTGCGAGGTTAAAAAGTGACACTAGCAGAATCTCTTTGCTTTCCAATTTCTATAAGACCGTTTTAAATAGCGGTTATTTCAAGAGTCACATCAAATCATAAGTAGGCAAGTGTATGACAATACGAGTTGATGGAAAATTTGATTTTGCGATAGATTATAAGTCTATAGAGATGGCTTACTCACGATTTAAAGCGGTTGATCGTTCTTTGAAGTGATGAAATTTAAATCTTTGTTGATAGTACTCAGTGATACAATAGTGATTGACATCTTTATAATTTATCTCTTGATTAATGAATAATAAAATGGTATCAATCCATATTCTTATCTATTTTATTGCACTGAATGATCAATGATAGATTTATATGAACATAATCCGACATTAATCTTGTGATAATCATATCTTTTAAATCAATTTTGTTTTCATTATTCCAGTTCTTTTTTGTGTTTGACATTTCCTTTCGATCACAATATAGATTACTAATAAAAAAAGGTTCGATAGTCAAAGATTCTAATTTATATATAATTTCTTTTTGTTTTACCGAATTGGTTATCTAGCTGCTTCACAATGTTTTCATGATTCGAAAGGTTAATATTATTTTTCTGTTTATCATTGTATTTAATAAAATGAATATTTTTAAGGATCTAAATAGTCCATCAATGTATGAAACAGGTATTGCTATGAGTGATCTTTCATGTTTTATCAATAGTGATCTTGTACGTGATTTAGCTAATGCTGTAATGACGCTTGTAAGAAATAATTGTATTTTTATTTTTATTTATTTATTTAAATAAATTTTTTTAGGTGACATCAACAAAACCATATATTCGTAAATGAGCTATTCTACTTTTATATAAAATATTTCTTAATAATCTTGATGTTCTTAAATCAGCATTTCCACGTTTAAATGAAAAACTTGAAGATTCCGATTCACATAAATTGATTAAATAAAAAAAAAAGAATTTTAACATTTTATTTTCAGGTGTATAAACAGCTGATGTGAATGTTATTTATGAATTAGCTAGACATAATCCAAAAAATGATCTTGCTTTAGCTTCAGTATTTTTTCCTCGTTTGATAACATCAACTAACAATTGGATACTTATTAAAATTATTAAATTAGTAAATAAAATTTGTTTAACTTCTTTTTTTTCGAATAGATTTCTTTTTCGTTGTTTGTATTTAGTTTGGTACATTAGTACCATTAGAACTTCGTTTAGGCAAAAAATTAATAGAATTATTGACAAATTTAATTCATAGCACTTCAGCTATGTCTCTTTGATATGAATGTATTGATACTGTGATTGCTAGTAAAATGAAACAAAGAGATAAATTTTAATTGACTACGTTTTTATTTAAGTTCTTGTTCCAATTTCATCGGATTTACCAAATAATAATGCTTCAATTCAACTATGTGTACAAAAACTTCGAATACTTATCGAAGATTCAGATCAAAATTGTGTGAAACAAATAACATTCATTATACAAAAAAAGACAAAAGAAAATTTTTATATTATCCTTTTAGTAAAATATATTGGTTCACTTGCTATGTCGACAATCTTACATACGCATCCAAAAAGTATTCAATCACATAGTGATTTAATAATGCGTTGTCTTGATCTTCTTTCTCGAATGGTAAGAAAATGAATTATTAGCTAAAAAATCAATGGCAAGAGACTATTCAAATATGAAATAATCAATTCGATAGAAAAAAGATATTAAAAATAACAGATGTTCAAACAGATTGTCGAACTTGCTTGTTATTTTTTTAAAAGTTTTAATAAGTTCATTTTTTTTCATGAGGAAATGTAGATATCGAGGTATACAGTGTTCGTACTATGTGAATACTTATGCTTTTTTCGACTAACCTCTTTTCTAACAATAGAAAAAGGTTATATTAATTTTCGTGAATAAATATTGCAGGAAAAAAAATTCAATCGTGCTATTGATTTTATTTGTTGTAGAAAAATGAAAAAAAATAAGCAAACAAGAAATTTCTTATATTTTGAATATGAGTGGATTAATAAATCGATATATATATAAGGAGATTTTATTCACTTGTGCTGTAGTCAGATATCTAGTTCTAGTTTCTCCTATGATATTTTAACATCGTACTATTATCATAATTGCTTAAAAAAATATCTTTAAAATTGCGAATATTTTCATACATCAGAAGCTAAAAATTATTTCTGATTTATATTCATATTAGAGGACAGATTTTGATGTCTTTAATTAGACCATTAAATACATTGAAAACATTCTTATTATTATATTAATATTTTATCTTTTGTCTTTGTCAGACAGTGATCTGCTGTATAAAGTCAATAGATGTTTGCATAGCAATGTCACTTTGATAGAAAGTACACACAGGTAGGGACAGACAAACCATGCCAACAGAAGGTAGATCTCTATTTAATGATGTCGGCGCCTGGATCTATAGATTTTCGGTCAGAAAACTTGGAAAAATAATAGAAAATCGATAGCCGGACTTTATTAGTTTCGATCAGAATAGATCGTAATTGAACAGAGCTAGCCGTCGGATTCCTGCTTCCAAGTTCTTACAATTTTCCGGTCAGTATCGGCTCGTATTTTATTACATAGAAATTGTGCTTTAGGATAGCTTTTCTACATAAAAAGTGTTATGAATTAATATGAAATATTTAGATGTATCATTAAAAATAAAGGTTAATATGATTTATGTTTATTAATCTATGGATTTCATTCGTAATCATTGTACTGTAGTTTTTATCTATTTTTGAAATACAAAAAAATGTTTATTGATACAAGAGTTTGCCATAAAAACAATCTATTAGTTTCTACTCAGGTCAAGAAATACGCGCCATTTCCAGTCAAAAAACTCGAGAAAATGGTAGAAACTTCGTACCATTTTACCGAGTTTTTCTGTCGAAATTCTTTTAAACAAGTAGAGTGAAACATGAATAACTGATCTCTTTAATTAATTGAGCTTTTGTTTAAGATGGTATGAGTATTCGATGGAGAAAAACTATTAATCAAAAAAAATCTGATCATTCAATGTTTGAAAAAAACTTAATTTTGATTATGAATTTTGTTTTTGTTTAGGTAACAAGAAAAGCTCTAATAGATATCGTACATAAATTAATGATTCATATGGATAAATCTGAAGGATCACTTTATCGAGATGAATTAGTTTCAAAAATAATTGAAATATGTAGTCAAAATGATTATCAACATATAACTAATTTTGAATGGTTTACATTTATTTTTGTAATTTTTATTAATAAAAAAAAACATTATTTATTAAAATAGATATATTAGTATATTAGTTGAATTAACTCGTCCTGAAAGTACAAAACATGGTGATCTCATATCTTTATGAATGCTTGATATTGTTGTTCGTGTTGAATCTATTCGTTCATTTGCTTGTAATCAAATGCTAGAAATTTTTCAAAAATAAAATCACAAAAAAATTTTTTTATTTCAGGTTTTTAGGCAATTCTTCTCGAAAATGCTTATGTTTTTATTCATGATTCAAATTCTACACCTGTTGTCGAAGTTTTATATGCTGCTGCATGGATTTGTAGTGAATTTTGTTCGAAAGTCAATAACGTAAAACAAAATTAATTAAAAGAATTCTTGTTTTTCTTTTCTCTATAGTCATTAAAAAGAACCACAAAAAACTCTTGAATCAATGCTTAATACAAAAACTAATCTATTTCCTCCACATATTCATTCTGTTTATTATCAAAATATTTTAAAAATTATTATATATTTAATTCAATCATCGAATAATGATGAAACATTAATTCAACAACTTCTTTCATTAACGATCGTTACAATGTCTCTATTTTTATCAAGTGGTGATGTCGAAGCACAAGAACGAGTAGGCCGTTTTTTCTTTTTAGTTTAAAATATCAAATATAAAAAAAAAAGAAATTATTTATTTAGGCCAAGTGTTATTTTACATATTCTTAAAACAACATTATAATTAATTGAAAAATCTGAATTTAATGTTAATGAATTATCAGTATTATTTGATGGTGTTTTTAATCCAATTGTTGCTAAAGCTCAAAGTTTTTGGATTTGGATGGTTGAATAAATGATCCTCAATCAGACAGTGAAGATGAATCGATAACAACAAGGTCATATTATGATAATAAAGGTTTATTTTATGATGATAATGGAGAAAATTATAATTCTAATTCATACTCTGGCGATACATTAAGTTATCAAAAATCGAAAAAATATATTGAACCAACTGCTGAAGAATTAGAAAAACAACGAGAATCAAAAAAACAAAGTGAACAAATGAATTCATTCTATTTAAAAGATTCAAAAAAAAACAAAATTGACACAAAAAGTAGAAGTTATTGACACAAATAAGTTTTTAGTGTTAGTGATTTATTATGAACGTTTCAAATCTTTTGATTATCGTCTATGTTGACATAAGAACGTCGAATTTGTCATCAGATATAATGGACAAGTTTTTACCATACCTTTATCTTAAGATAGGAGCAATAACAAGATCTGAAACATTTACAAGAAACTAGTCTCGTTAAGGTCTGTCTCTATGAAGAGTACCAAGTCAAAATTCGAAAATTAGTTTTCATGATATTCCTGTGAGGCACCATGGCTAGAACCCATCGAATTCAAAGTTTTCGGATCCGAAACTAATCCGACAGGCTCTAACTACGACATCCATTTAAAAACTACGGTAAAAGTGCAATATCTCGACATCAATAAGCTACAGACTTGAGCTATCTTTCGGATATTCTTAGCTCATTTGATTCTATAGAATGCAAATAGTCTAGTTCAATCCTTGAATTTATCTTTAATATTATATACTGAAACAACTTCGAATACTATAAATGGTAATGATTGTATTGAATTAACATTATCACAAGGAACAAATGCTACTAGTTTACAATTAACACTATCTGATCAATTATATCGTCAAGCAAAAATTGATGAAGAAAATCGACGTTTAAAGAAAAAAATCGAAAACTGGTGTAAAAGTAATTCATGATAATGATGATGATATTTATCCAGCTGTTAAAGTAACACGTGATGGTGAATTACCAGAAAATGCTACAGAAAGTGAAAATAAAGGTAATGACAATGATGTGCGTGTTGAAAAAAATAAAAAATATGGTCCATATCGAGCACTTAATATTGACTTAAATGAAAAATCTATTCAATCGATTCCTACACCATCACCATTGACATCTCAATTAAAAGAATCAGTTGCTAAACAAGTTGAAACACCTCCTATATTAACTGAAAAGCCAAAACAAAAAATTTAAGAAGAAGAAAATAATTGAAAAACAAGAACAATCATCAACATCGAAATCCAAACACAAACGAGAACGTAGTGATGATAAAGAATTATTATCACCAGCTGATGAAGAAGGAAATCGTCCAACTTCTTCTACACCTTCTCCTCCTCCTACTACTTCAGAGAAAACCAAAGTAACAAAATCATCATCAGAAATAATAACAATAGTATATACAAATACTTCTGTGCCACTCCTATTGGACATTATGACGGATGATATTCATCCAACAAATCAAGCTGAGTAACAATACAATGAACAAGATACTTATAAACTAGCTGCTCAATCTGATAATTTGACAATTGTAAATTCAATAATTATCCTAGTTTAACAATAGATGAGGAAACTTCGTTAAGTGATAAAATGCTTTTGACATGAGTCTTATCTCATTAGGTGGTAGACTCTATTGAGATTAGAGAAAATCTTCGTCTGATCATCTTTAAAAAATTCACCTTTGAGATATGAAAAGATGGAGTTCTCTTTTCTTCGTAACAGAATTTTCGATATTGATGTCTCAGGATAGAAGATATTCGGAAGTTTCCGACACTTACACAATGAATTAATCCTATCAAGAACTTGATTTTGAACATGATCTGAAGAGAAATTCACTAAAATGACTATTATGCAAACAAAAAAGATCCATTCAGATTCCAATCCCAAAAAAAGTCAACTTTGTCCATCCCTAACTCACACCAACGTTGGAGATATTACTTTTTTTACCATTGAAATCATTTGAATATGCATTTAAACAATCTGTTATAAATTTATTTTTAGGAATATTTGATTAATCCAGATCCATTAATAGCTCAAGTTGATGTAATATTTCTTTTAGAAAATCGAACATCATTTATTATTGATCATATTAATATTCATGTTATTGATAGTATGAATTCGAAATTATTAAATACAACAAGTACAAATTTAATATCATTTCCATCTATAAGTCTTTTTCCTCATTCACAAAATTATATTCATATTTATTTTTTTCAATAAATGCTATATCATTTTCTCAAAAATTAAAAACAACATTAACTTATTCTATAAATGTATGTTGAAAAAATAAAAAAAAAATACTTATTATTTTTATTTTTGACAAATATATTTAGAAATTAAATATAATTGAAACAGATCGAATTGAATTTAAACTTAATTTACCTTGTTCACAATATTTACGACGAAAGACTATTGATTCGCAAGAATAAGTTTTTTTTTATTAGGTTATTTAACATGAATATATATTTTTTTAAAAAGTATGGTATTCGTTGATTTGATGAGTTCGGGTACATTGACATATCAATCACAACTTCGTATTCCATCATCTAATCAAGATTTTCTATCGATAATTAATAAAATTTGTCAATTTTATTGATTAACTGGTTAGAAAACAAAATTGAAATTTTTTGTATATCCAAATTCTTAATTTAGTTGTCGAAAAAATTAATTCAGCTGCATCTTTATATGCTGAAAGAATACTTGGACAACTAATAGCTCTTTTATTTAAATCAATAGTATGTCTATTTTAAGATTTTTATTAAAAATCAAACTAAATAATTTTTATTTATTTATTTCTAATCTCATGGAAGAAATAAAAATATCATTAAAATAATTTATTTTTCTTTATTTCATTTATTTATTTTTATTTTTATTCCATGGACAATATCTATATAAAGCGAAAAGAAAAATAATAATTGACAAACAGTGATCCCTTTTTTGCATCTATTATCTTTATTTACCAAAAAAAAGCAAAGAAAGAAAATCTCTTATGTATCAGATAATAAATATATTTGATCTTCTGACACATAGAAAATATGTTCTTTTTTTTTTGTTTTGTTCTGAATGATTATAGTCAATTCTTATGTGTATGCATATTTTCTATTTTTTATTTGCTATAATTCGAACATTATATATATTTATAAAAAAGAGGAAAATTAATGATAAACTATTTAATCATTCTCGACTGGTTTCAAATGATTAGAAGAAAGAAATTTTTCTTTTTTTGTGAAGCTTATTAAATTTCCAAGTATAATGAGTACCGACGAGCGGGATCAATCGTTTATTATGCCGATCTTAACTAGAAAAAGTTTTTTAGTTCTGATTTCACGCTTAGTAATACATGTACTAGCAAAATATGCAATATAATACTCTAGTAGTGTCAATAAACTCGAGATATCTTGGACGATCCTCATGACTTCTAATATCCTGTCTCTTCGAGGATCATTACTTTTTTTTTTAATTCACTAGTACCTGATCCGTTCTGTTCGTTTACATGTTCGACAATTCTCTTGTTTACGAACAAAAGAAGGACTATTTTACTATGAAAATTAGAACGGCAAATATTGCAGTGATCTTTACTCAATAATTTTTGCATAGACTTAGAATACATGAGTCGCAACAACATAGCATGATCATAATAGATATCATTCACCTAAACTTTGTATGGAAATAAAAAACGCTTTATAAATATTGTTTACGGCTGTAAATCCAACGACAATAATTCCAGCACGCGGATTTGAATATTAGCATTGGTAACAGGTGATATAAGATAATTGTTCTGATTTTTCTTTGATTTCTAAAATAAAAATATTAGCTAGCTCACAATTATGCAAATGACAGAAAAGGATATAATTGATATAAGGTGTGGATATAGATGAGGCTATTGTCTTCACTCGCACACACACCATATATACTTTCATAATAAAATATAAATCTTACTACCTAACCTAACGTCCAATAGCGGTGTAACCAGGATTCTTAGACCAATGGGCAAACTCTCCTATGTCGAAAAAAGCCAATGGACGAAATGGGCAAGGTTTTTATTGATAGGCCAAAACTTTTTTCACCCAACAAAGTACTAATAATGTTAAAGCAAACATGTATAAGGTAGTGTTAAGAATTCTTCAAATATGTATCTGTACAGTACATATGAATATTTTTCCTACGAATCACATCATTTCACATCTTGGTTTTTTTCATTATGTTTCCACATATACGTCATTGGATTTTTTCCTTTCTCTTCTATGCGTCAATTTTCACGTGGTTAGTGTTTTCTCAATAAAACCGAATTCATGTTCACCCAAACTTACAGTTAAAATCAGAGTTGCCAGATTTTCTAAAAAGTCAGACATTTTTCTGGAATTTGAACATGTTTCCAATTTTTTTTCTGATTTGTTGGCGAATTCCAAATGTCTTTAGATGGTGGCTTTACCAGCAAAATCAATCGCAAGTATAACTCATTAATATTATGAATCAATATTTCACTATCTTCTTTCCTTTCTTAATCTTTTGTAATTTTAAGTTCTGCAGTCGCTGACGAGTGCTGTAATATATCAGTAAACTTTTGCGTTGCAGAACTTAACAATAAATGCTAATTATTTTTTTAAACGATTTTGTAAACATATTTTAGCTCAAAAACATTTATTGAAGAAATTTTGAACAAGGGAAAACTTGAAAAATAATATGGAGTTTATGTTCTATAATCTTTATTATTTTTCGTAAATAGAATTTGAGCTTCGTAAAAGAATCTGACATTGTGTGTCTTTTGCTAGCTTGGTTTTTGTATTAACTAACAATTGAAGACCATGCAACGGCAAATTAAGAAGATTGCTCATAGCTGAATCAAATGAATGCTCTTACTCACAGATCAACTAAAACGTTAGCTGTCACTAGCGTACAAAGACCGAGATGTTTAAATTTTAACATATTTACAGTCTGTCATGTGCCCACACTACGAAATTTCATCGACCTTTAGTTCTCTTTTTTCGTCATGGTTGGATAGAACACGACTATTTACATAAGAAGAAGCAATATCACACACATTCAAAAGTAATTTGACAGCAATAAAAATTTTTTGTTTATTACCCTTATAATTAAAAAATTAATGTTGTCTTAGACTTCGTATAATTTGCTTTTTAATATACCTGATATTGTTTTCTCTTATGTAAATGATTCTACTCCATCCAACCATGACGAAAAAAGATGACTAGGCGTCGATGAAATTTCATAGTGTGGGCACATAACAAACTGTAAACTTCTTGAAATTCGAATATCTCGGTGTGTGTATACACTATTGGCAGCTCATATTTTTAATTAGTTAGTTTGACAGTGAGAGCATTCATTTGATCAGATTATGATCAATCTCTTTCGTTAACAGTACACGATGTATTACTCTAAGCTATATAATAGTTGTGTTGTCTCTCTTTACTATGACATACTTTTGGAAGCAAAGTATGAGTCTATAAAAGAAAAAAAAAATGAAGCCTTTTGTGCAAGTATGTGAACATGACAGTTCTGAGTCCGCAAAAAGTTATTCTTTCTGATTAGTTTCCGATTTCGGAAAAAAATTCTGATTCTTTTCCTCATTTTTAAGTTTTTCATCTAGCAACCCTGATAAAAATACCAGAAGCGATTCTTTTCTTCTTCTTTTCTTCGTTCTTCATAGAAAGAACAAGCAAAAAGTGCATGTATGATTCAGACGGAAGAAAATAAATAGAGTTACTATCTAATTCAAAAATAAATAAACAATTCTGTAAAAGTAAAATTACAATGGGCAAATATCCAAATGAAATTGGCAATTGCCCATTTGCTTCTCTCTTGACTACGTCACTGTGACATTGCACTTATTATCCATAATTCTGATTAGTTGACATATGTTGCCAAACTTATGAGTTCTATTCAATAAAGTTTTAATTTCTTATTCTTGTACTGCATTTCTGAATATTTGATATTCTTATGTTTTATAAAGTTCTCGCAAAACATTTAAATACTGTAATATTTTTTTCATAGATCTATAAGAATCAGTAACATTTTAATTAAAGAAAGTCACATTATATATGCTAAGTTATCATCTGATGTTCATTAACGTCGTCTTCTTGTTGTTTATCCAGCAATAAAAACAAATTCAATAGTTCTTACTGATCTTGAATTATTACGTAAAGAATATTAGTGTAAGCAATCAAATATAATTTATGATACAATTATTTTCTACACCTCATGGACTTAAACATATTTGTGAACCTTATCCCCATATAACACATGATATTTCAGACATTTATAATATTTTAATTTTTTCTAGGTACTGTTTAAATTTTAAAAAAAATAGTCGGTATTCTGTTTCTTCATGAAGGAGTCGAAACGACACGAACGAAGCTCTTTAATATTCTTGATATTTCATAAGATTAAATTAAAATTTATATGAATAACTTTAGAATTCAGTTGCTTTGAAAAGGCAACTATTTCACTTTTCAATTTCAAAATCAAATGTATTCGAGTAATTTAAAAATAAGTTTCCTTGAAAAACGATAGAAAACTACAAATATCACCATTGAGAGAGGAAAATTAATATTATTGATTCATGCAAGTCTTAATCAATCTAATGTTTGAAGCATATCTGTTGATCAAGATCTGAAAACTCATGAAAGTTGTATGATTAGGAACTTAATTTTGTTTTTTTAACCTGATGAGATAGTGATGCAGGCATCAATTACAACTGATAATACATTTCATTCTACGGATGTAGATCCACTTATCAACAATGAGTCGATAAAGACGGAAAACTAGAAGAAAATCTACAACTATGAACAATTTTCTCCATATTTTATAGCCTATTTATTTTCTTGTCGTATGTTTATTCACGTCACTTGCATTCATCTATTTAAAATTCAGCAATTATCCTTTGTGAAAATCCATGGTATATACGAGAAAAGATCTTGGAGTTTTAAAACATGAAATTTTTGTAATATACTTTAAAAATGTTTAGCTGTCATTAAAAAAATTA